AATTACTATAGGGGGGATGAATTACTATATGGGGGGGAATTACTATATTGGGGGATGAATTACTATATGGGGATGAATTACTATGGGGGATGAATTACTATGGGGATGAATTACTATATGGGGGATGAATTACTATGGGGGATGAATTACTATATGGGGGATGAATTACTCATATGGGGGATTAATTACTATGGGGGATTTACTATATGGGGGAATAATTTACTATACTTACTATGGATGGAAATTACTAGTCCGGCCCCCGGGTCCAATAATGACTTCTATTGGGGCCTCAAGTAAAATGTTTGCCCACCCCTGGTTTAGAATCACCCTATGTGTCCAAATACACATTACGTTTAGAGTCATCCTATGTGTCCATGTACACATATCGTGGATTAGAGTCCATTGATGTGTCCATGTACACATCATCGTTTAGAGTCATCCTATGTGTCCATGTACACATCATCGTTTAGAGTCATCCTATGTTTAGTCCCTATGTACACATCATCGTTTAGAGTCATCCTATGTGTCCATGTACACATCATCGTTTAGAGTCATCCTATGTGTCCATGTACACATCATCATCATCGTTTATCGAGAGTCATCCTATGTGTCCATGTACACACATCATCGTTTAGAGTCATCCTATGTGTCCATGTACACATCATCGTTTAGAGTCATCCTATGTGTCCATGTACACATCATCGTTTAGAGTCATCCTATGTGTCCATGTACACATCATCGTTTCAGTCATCCTATGTGTCCATGTACACATCATCGTTTAGAGTCATCCTATGTGTCCTTGTACTCATCATCGTTTAGAGTCATTTACAGGCATTTGAGTTTACAGTCGTTTTTTTTTTGAATGCAGAAAACTTGCGTTCAGCAGTCAATTTTATCAGCATTTCAAACACAAAACACTTGTAAACATGGCAAATCACATTTATAAGCGTTTGCGTCTGAACATTTTTTTTAATTCTTCTGGTTCCCGATGCTGTCCAGAGCCTTTTTTCATCATGAAAAATGCATGCAAAGCGTTTTCAAGGTGCTCAGATGGACAAAACACTGAACACAGGATGTTCCTACCAAGCTTGTCACACATTGTAATGGCCAATTCACACCTCAGACCTCTCCCACCCTTGGAAACAAAAGATATGTTAATGATCATTCACACCTCAAATTCCTCATGAACACCCCCTACCAGGTGGCCTTAATGACTCCCTCCACCAGACACCTTTCCCACCTTTGGAAACATAAGAAATGTTAATGAGCAACTCACACCTAAGCTAATTTCAACACACACTGCTGTCTCTGCTTCTACTCTCTGTATTTCTGTATGTTATGCAAACGCGGCTAAACAGATGTTTTTTAAACCTGTGTTTTCCAGCAGTCAGTTTCCATTGTTCAGAAGTGTCCTGTGTACATGGGGCCTTAAAGTGTTTCTCCAGTCAGATGGTAAAAACACATTTTTATTTCCATGTTGGATGTCAATCATTTCCAGCCTACTTTTATTAATCGGAACAATCTTGAAGTCTGTAAACCTACTTTGTGAACATCTCCACACATTTACTTCTTTTATAGTGTCAGTAAACCCAGGCTGTGAAAACTCTCTTTACATGCTATATAACAGAGTGTGCATATTCATAATCAAAAAGCAACTAAAGAATTTGTTTTGTATAGAGTGAAATATATCTGGTTGATCTGCCTTCAGCTGTCCCTCCCATCTTCTTTGTGTCCTCATTGCAAACTGAGATTGTGTATACCAGTTGTTGTCATCTACTGAGCATGCTCCAGTTTTAATTTCCCTTCTAAATTCTTCATTTCCTTCTTTTTATTATCTGTGGAGCTCACATGACTATAGAGTCACACATGTGGGCACGCACTACTGTTGTGTGATGTGGTGCATGTTCAACCTATTCAAATGAATGACCTGAAATCACACTGAACCCAGATCGCATGTGAATCACAAAGGGCCTTCCTGTGTGATTCATGGTGTGAGCTGGCCCTAAACGTGAGTAATCTAGGCATGTATTTTATACAGAATCTTATCCATTTAAGCTCCAGAATGTTTTACCCCCTTCATGACCAAGGTATTTTTTATTTAACACTGCGCCACTTTAACTGGTAATTGCTCAGTCATGCAATGTTTTACCCAAATAAAATTTATATGATTTTTTTTTTACACCAATAGAGCTTTTTTTTGGTGGTATTTGATCGACATTGGGTTTTTTGTTTTTTATTATATAAATGAAAAAAAAACTATATTTTAAAATGAAAAAATCTAATTTCTTCATAAATTTAGGCCAAAATGTATTCTGCTACATGTCTTTGGTATCACAGTAAGTGTATATCTGTCTGTGTGCAATCGGTAGCGTCTACAAACTATGGTATATATGTACTGGAATTTGTTTTTTTATCCTAGTAATGGTGGTGATCAGTGACTTATAATGGGGCTGTGACAGGGGCAGACTGACCATTTGGAAACTCGGGCACGGCCCGAGGGCCCGGGGTCAGTAGGGGGCCCCATGAGATGCCCCTGGTACCTTTTTCATAGGTTTTTTTGAGTTTGGGCAAGGACACAGTGGCCCCATGATCCCCTATTGCCCAGGGGCCCCATGAGTTCTTAGTCCGCCCCTGGGCTGTGATAGTGTGGCGGGCAATCTGACACTAGCCAACACTAGGTGGGAACTAACTGACATCACCAGTGACATTAATTCAGTGATCAGCGATTATACTATACACTGTTACTGTATTAATGACACTGACTTGGAAGGGGTTAACAATTGGTTAAGTGTGGCCAAACAAGCGTAATATGTATAATATGTGTAATATGTGCTGCTTTTTACCAAAAATCTACTGCTGTGCAGGGAGAAGAAACTAAGAGATTATTTGATCTGTACAGAGTCTTGTGTTGCTTGTCAACACAGGGCTCTGGGCTGTAATTGGACAAAGCCAATCAACAGGTCCCGGCCATGAATCATTGGCAGGGACCCGCTGACAAAATCCGGCTGCGTCTAATCAGAGCAGGAGTTGGCAGAGGGGGGCGCTCTTGCTCCCTGAACCTGAAAGCAGGCAGCAAAGTACAGTCGCTTGTAGGAGCCACCCGTCTGCAGTACAATGCTGGCGGGCGGTCCAAAAGTACGATGCCAGCTCTGCCAGCAGGAGCCTACATTCAGAACATACTCACAAGCCTGTGTGAACGCAGCCTGACTACTCAGTGATTGAGAAAACAGCAACAATTCCTAGCAATAAAATAAAGCAATATTACTGAGCTGAAGTCATAAATAAAAGTGACCTATCTAATGTCTGTCTGTGTAAAGATCAGGCAAAAAAAGTAATAATATATCTTGAAATCAAGGGTTTATCTTGTGTATTTAGGCATCTTCATGAAGCAGAACAGATATTGGTCCATTGTGGCAGAGATTCTGGGAACTAGGTTGGATATACGGTAACAATTCCTTTTTTTCTTTTTTTCCTCTTGTAAGAAAAGCACACTTTATGTATAATGATCCTTCACTAATGTTCTGATTATAACCTCCTTTAATGACCATTACCTTCAATACCCACCAAATACTGCTATAATTACAACAATCTGCTAGAAAGCCTGCGCTTTGTTTCTAAACTGTGCTGGAAATGACACTCAGAATATGGGTTACATGGGAAAGAGCAGATGTATTTTACAGATATGAGCTAAGGCTCTGATCTAATGGGGTACCTGTATGAAGAGGTGTTTGCTGGTATGCAGGGGCGGACTGACCATTTGAGCACTCGGGCACTGCCCGAGGGCGCGGGGTCAGTAAGGGGCCCCATGAGATGCCCCTGGTACCTTTTTCATAGGCTTTTTTGGGTGTGGGCAAGGACACAGGGGCCCCATGATCCCCTATTGCCCAGGGGTCCCATGAGTTGTTAGTCCGCCCCTGGGCTGTGATAGTGTGGTGGGCAATCTGACACTAGCCAACACTAGGTGGGAACTAACTGACATCACCAGTGACATTAATTCAGTGATCAGCGATTATATTATACTGTTACTGTATTAAAGACACTGACTTGGAAGGGGTTAACAAGGGGTTAAGTGTGCGCCAAACAAGCGTTAATATGTGTAATATGTGCTGCTTTTTACCAAAAATCTACTGCTGTGCCCCTGCTGGTATGAATTCCTCTTAACCACTTGCCCTCTGGAAGATTTACCCCCCTACCTGACCAGGCCATTTTTTGCTATACAACGCAGCGCTACTTTAACTGGCAATTCCGCAGTCTAGCAATGCTGCACCCAAACAAAATTTATATCTTTTTTTTTTTTCATACAAATAGATTCTTTTTTTGGTGGTATTTGATCACCTCTGGGTTTTTTTTTATTATATAAAAGAAAAAAGAACAAACATTTTGGAAAAAAAAAAACTATATTTTTTTAATTTCTGCTATAAAACATATCCAATACAAAGATTTAAAAAAATCTAATTTCTTCATAAATTTAGGCCAAAAATGTATTCTGCTACATGCCTTTGGTGAAAAACAAAATCCCAGTAAGTGTACAGTATATTAATTGGTCTGTGCGGAAGCTGTAGCGTCTACAAACTATGGTATTTGGAAAGGAATTTTATATATATATATATATATATATATATATATATATATACACATATATATACACAAGTAATGAGAGTGATCTTATAGTGGGACTGTGATTGTGTGGTGGGCAATCTGACACTAACACTGGGTGGCAGGGGCGGACTGACCATTTGAAAACTCGGGCACTGCCCGAGGGCCCTGGGTCAGTAAGGGGCCCCATGAGATGCCCCTGGGACCTTTTTCATAGGCTTTTTTGAGTTTGTGCAAGGACACAGGGGCCCCATGATCCCCTATTTCCCGGGGGCCCCATGAGTTGTCAGTCCGCCCCTGCTGGGTGGGTGTCACTGCCATCACCAGTGACACTATCACTTCAGTAATCAGTGATAATACTATCTATAGACTTACTTTCTGCCAGGGATTTTTTTTTTGCGGGAATGCGTGGGAACGCAGTTCTGGCATCTCTGAATGTATGGAATGGCAAGAAGTGCTTGGGTGTGCTAGGGGATCTATTGTCACTGAAGGTAAGGCATGCTGTAAGCAGGGGCGGACTGACAACTCATGGGGCCCCTGGACAATAGGGGATCATGGGGCCCTGTGTCCTTGCCCAAACTCAAAAAAGCCTATGAAAAAGGTACCAGGGGCATCTCATGGGGCCCCCTACTAACCCCGGGCCCTCGGGCAGTGCCCGAGTTTCCAAATGGTCAATCCGCCCCTGGCTGTAAGGCATCTACTGTTGAGAGGAGGGGTCCATTGTCTAGTGTTGCTAGCTGCTGGAGAGTCTATTTATGCTGGCTGATGGAAGATCTGTTGTTGCTGCTGGGGGTCTATTGTTGCAAGGGTGGTATTTTGTTTTGAGGGTCCATTGTTGCTAGAGGAATTTATTGACGCTGGTTGGGGGTCTATTGCTGCTGGCTGTATCTATTTTTCTGTTTTTCTTGTTAATTGTTCTAATTAACAAATTCCATAAAAATTATTTAGCACCACAAAATGGTACTTCACTCTGTATTCTCTAAAACGAGAGGTACTGGGAGGTGAATAGGGGTGGAACCAAGTGATGGTGCTTGCAGTTGGGTAGGGGGCCGATACAAGAAATGACTCAAAAGGGGGGAATTCCTGCACTTATTTTTTGAGCAAAAAGCTCTGTTTCTGTTATAAAACATATCCAAAAAAAAAATTTTAAAAAATCAAATATCATAAATTTTAGCCAAAATGTATTCTGCTACATATCCTTGATATGAAAAATTCCCAGTACTGTACGTGTATATTGATTGATTTGTGTGAAAGGTTCAGCTTCTACAAACTATAGGATATATACTCGAATTTTTGTTTTATTCTAATACTAGTAATGGTGGCGATCAGCGACTTATAACAAGACTGCAACATTGCGGTGATCCATCTGGCACTAACTGATTCTTGGGGGAACTACAGTAGCTAACTGCCACTGATATCACCAGTGCCATTATTACAGTGATCAGTGCTAATAATATGCACTGTCACTGTACTATTTATTTCAGGTACTTATATAGCACCGTCAATTTGTGCAGCGCTTTACATGTACTGTATATATTGTACATTCACATCAGTCCCTAACCCTCAAGGGGTGTACAATCTAAGGTCCCTAACTCACATTCATACATACCCATACTATAGAAAATTTTAGACAGGATCCAATGAACCTGCCTGCATGTCTTTGGAGTGTGGTAGGAAACCGGAGTACCCGCAGGAACCCACACAGGCACAGGGAGAACATACAAACTCCAGGCAGGTGGTGCCGTGGCTGGAATTCAAACCAATGACCCTAGTACTGCCAGGCGGAAGTGCTAACCACTAAGCCACTGTGCCGCCCTAACTATGACACTGGGCAGGAAGAGCTTAACATCTAGGGCAATCAAGGGGTTAAATATGTGTCCAGGTTGTGTGTGTACTGTGTTCTGCTTTTACTGGGGATCTCATTTTTTTAATTCCCTGCTTAGCTGGAAAAGAAAAATCAACTAGTTTTCCAGTCACTGAACACAGCTCTATGTGATGATCCCAGCACAGCCGGGCGAGCGGGTGGGTGCATGTGCCCCCTACCTGGAAATGCAGAATCACGTTTATATATGGGTTTATGAGTTTATATACTGTTGATCTGTAGTAAAAAGCAGCACACATTTCACACATTAACAGTGAAGCGTGATCCTGTCATGTACGGGTTCCCGTGACGTCACATCCGGCCTATCAAAAGCGAGGCTTGGAACACACGCCAGTCATACTGTTGGAATACATACCTACACAGGCTGTACAAACTGGTGCTGGTTCCTTGGGCACCTTTACATATGAGTGTAAAGCTATTTGCCATGCAATTTTCAATAAATACTACACTTAGAACGTTTATAATTCATGTGATTTATTTGAGCTGCTTGGAGTATCACCTTGTTTTGAGGAGAGCTTGGGATTACAAAACCCATCCACCATTGGTGTACCTGGAGTCTTGTGATCACCCAACTGGGGGCAATTATCTGTGATTCCCTGGTGACCGGGAGGTCTTTGGGCACCTTTACAAGTGAATGTAAAGCTATACATGTATTTGCTATGTAATTTTCAATAAATACTTTACTTAGAACGTTTCATGTGATTTATTTGACCTGCTTGGAGCATCACCTTTGTTTTGAGGATAGCCTGGGATTAAAAAATCCATCCACCATTGGTGTACCTGGAGTCTTGTGATCACCCAACTGGGGGCAATTATCTGTGATTCCATGGTGACCGGGAGGTCTTTGGGCACCTTTACAAGTGAGTGTAAAGCTATACATGTATTTGCTATGCAACTTTCAACAAATAATACACTTAGAACGTTTATAATTCATATGATTTATTTGAGCTGCTTGGAGCACCACCTTTGTTTTGAGAAGAGCCTGGGATTAAAAAATCCATCCACCATTGGTGTACCTGAAGTCTTGTGATCTCCCAGCTGGGGGCAATTATCTGTGATTCCCTGGTGACTGGGAGGTCTAATCTAGGAGAGTCTATTGCTGGTCTCCAATACTCATTATGACAAAGTGGTACCTGACCACCTAACCGGGGTCAATTGTTTCTGGTGAGTGAGGAATTCACATATTGCTTGCACGTGGTGAAAGAGCACAACTTTTTTGGCATATGGAATTACATTTTCATGGGACTGTCACTATATTGTGTTCACCATTTATTATATCTGATGTATGAATATTATTTGTTAGATGTTGTTGAGAGTCCACGTGCTCTCATATCATTTTATTTGGTATAGGAAAAGTATTTGTTAGATGTTGTTGAAAGTTGACTTGACTCTCTTCCTTTGATGCACGGTTGTTGTAGTAGCGCCTATCTATTCACGTATTTGTTTGCTCAAGTGTATTTCACTTTTTAGGGGCAGCTGTCAACCTTTTTTGCCAGTTTATTGCGGACAATAACTATTATTGTTTGAACACTCAGTCACATAGGCGCCAAAATATTTCAGTTATATAATTTTCACGCACGCAAACCGATCAATATACACTTATTGGGATTTTGTTTTACCAAACACATGTAGCAGAATACATTTTGGCCTACGTTTATGAATATTTTTTTTTCCTATTGGATATGTTTCATAGCAGCAAGTAAAAATTTTGGGGTTTTTTTTCCAAATTTTTGTCCTTTCTTCATTTACTGTATATCTTAACCAATAAAAAAAACCCAGTGGGGATCAAATACCACCAAAAGAAATCTCTATTTGTGTGAAAAATGATATACATTTTGTTTGTGTACATTGTTGCATGACCGTAAAATTACCAGTTAAAGTAGCACAGTGCTGAATAACAAAAAACAGCCTGGTCATGAAGGGGGTAAAACCTTCCAGGGCTGAAGTGGTTAAATGAGCTGTAGAAGTGCTAAAAAAACCTAAGGATTATTATCACTGTAAGCTGGTCATACACGCATATATACGTTTTCATTCAGCGAGCGCAAAGCGCAAAATGTGCACTGGAAAAGCGCATAACACTCTACGCCTGAAAGGGTTCTTTGACTTTGTCATGTCATGTGCAGGGCAGCCAATTCAAGTGCATCCGCTGCTCTGTGTGCGATACAAAAATGCGTGAAAGAAGCACAGAAAACAAGTTAAATGTGAATGGACCCTTAAAGCTGAATTCTAGGCATGTCAATTTTGACATAGTTGCATTGCTCCAGCTTGGACCAATGAAAGTACTGTATGTGTATACCATACCTGTGGGAACCCCCCTGGAAGCCAGAAATCACTGTAGTAGGCACTGCTGCTGCAGTGATTGCGGTTGGCTCCCAGGACCCATGCCAAACTAGTTAGTTTAACTTCTATAGTTGGGAAGATACTGGAGAGTTTAATAAAAGACTACATAGAGGAGTTCTTGCTGGAAAAAAATATTTTAAGCAACAGACAGCATGGATTCATGAAAGACAGAAGTTTTCAAACAAATCTGATTTCTCTTTATGAGGAGGTGAGCAAAACCTTGTACATAGGGGTGGCGGTGGACGTGGTATACTTGGATAGAGGGGTGGCGGTGGATGTGGTATACTTGGACAGAGGGGTGGCTGTGGACTTGGTATACGTGGACAGAGGGGTGGCTGTGGACGTGGTATACTTGGACAGAGGGGTGGCCGTGGACTTGGTATACTTGGACAGAGGGGTGGCCGTGGACTTGGTATACTTGGACAGAGGGGTGGCGGTGGACATGGTATACTTGGACAGAGGGGTGTCTGTGGACTTGGTATACTTGGACAGAGTGGTGGCGGTGGACGTGGTATACTTGGACAGAGGAGTGGCGGTGGACGTGGTATACTTGGACAGAGGGGTGGCTGTGGACTTGGTATACTTGGACAGAGGGGTGGCAGTGGAATACTTGGATTTTGCAAAAGCATTTGACACAGTTCCCCACACACGGCTAATGTGTAAGGTAAAGTCTACGGGCTTGTAAAAATCTGTATGTAAATGGATAGAAAACTGGCTAAAAGATCGTATTCAGAGTGTAGTGGTTAATGATTCATACTCTGAATGGTCTGGGGGTGTCAGTGGTGTACCCCAAGGTTCAGTGTTGGGACCCTTACTTTTTAATATATTTATAAACAATATAGTGTCTGAGATTATAAATCCCATTTCAGTCTTTGCAGGTGACACCAAGCTGTGCAGTGGAATAACGTCCTTACAGGATGTCTACAATTTACAAGCCGACCTCAATGCTCTGTGTAATTGGGTAACTATGTGGCAAATGAGGTTTAATGTTGATAAATGTAAGGTTCTGCACTTGGGGGCTAAGAATATGCATGCATCATACATACTAGGGGGGGGGGGTACAACTGGGGGAATCAATGGTGGAGAAGGATCTGGGGGTTCTGGTAGATCACACGCTTAATAATGGCAGCAATGCCAAGCTGCGGGTTGTAAAGCGAGCAAAATCCTCTCTTGTATTAAAAGAGGTATAGACTCCAGAGAGAGAGATATCATTTCCCCGGTACAAATCATTAGTAAGACCTCATCTGGAATATGCAGTTCAGTTTTGGGCACCAATTCACA